AAATTTTATGAAGTAAGCGTAAGAGTATACGAAGGAAACCTAATATAATATTGAAGGTATTAATATCCATCAATCTTATTGCCTACACATATGTCGGTCACTGTGAAATATTGATATCATCACCTAGTTTATATATTACGCATTATTTTTTTCGTAAAGCTCAATAGAAGAAGATGGCATAGAAAAAAAAGCAATACTATGAAACAAATTTCGAGAGAAAGAAGATTAAATAATATTAGACACATCTATTTTTGCAAGTATTTAGTGTTACATTTATCTATTCTAAATAAATCTATAGTTAATATAAATGTAGGATACTTTATTTTATAATCCATAATTGTCTATAAACAAATGTGAGAAATAATCTAAATCGTAAAACTTCTGAGCATATACAGGGTGTCCCACGCTGATCGTGCATTAGAAGCTTCTATAGAACTACAACATCTAGCTCGGAGATTTTTTGCATATCATAGTTTCACAACGAGATCTATCGATTAAAAATATTTTCAATATGGCGGCACTTCCGGAAATACCGGAAGTTGACAGCAACTTTTTTATTTTAAATGGGCGCCTCCATTTTTTATTATGTACCTAAGTTCTCTGCAAAATTTTATGAATTTTGATATTAAATACTCTATATCTAACATTAAAAAAAAGTATTTAAAATTTTTGAACGAAAAAAACGTTTTAAAGCGTATATTTTTCTTGATTTTAACTAGTAGCCTATGACTTTAAACGTCAAGTGATGTAAACTAGACCTAACACTAGATCTGACCATGACATATTTTGACGCTTTGTTCAAAAAGCAGCATCATTTTCGAGCCAACTTTGCCCTGTTTTTTTTTCGATCATACGGAATATTAATTATATCAGCTATTAGATATCACTAAATAGCGAAAATACTAGATATATTTTTATAAATACACTTTTTAGACTCTTAAGGTAGGCAGTATTATTTGTACTATAGGAAATACAAATAATTCGTTTTCTGACAGATGGAAATAAATTGTCTGACCGTTTGATACTTAATGTCGAAGGAAACTTATATAGATAAAATCAAGGAAAATATACGTTTTCTACCTCAATCTTAAATAACTTAAAAACGATTTATTTTAGGTATAGGAACATGTATAGTTAAAAAGTAACAAATTGAAAACCCGTTTCATTAGTCGAATAAAAAAACTGGGTTTCCATTTGAAAAAAATGATTTATGATAATTTTTTTATCACTCAATTCCATGACAGCTACCGCCATTATTATATAACATTTGAACAAGTTAATCTTTGAAATAGATAGCCACATGTCTTCTCTTTATGTCACAGTGGCTGTGGTAATCACTAAATTTGATTTTTAGATTATACAAATTTTCTTGACAGGTAGTTTTTTTCGTCCAAAAATTTTAAATAATTTTTTTCTCAAAAACGGTTAATGTTAGATATAGAGTGTTTAATATCAATATTCATAGAATTTTACAGAGAATTTAAGTACAAAATAAAAAATGGGGGCACCCATTTAAAATAAGAAAGTTCACAACTTCCGGTATTTCCGGAAGTGCCGCCATATTGAAAATATTTTTAATCGATAGATCTACTAGTTGTAAAACAATGATGTGCAAAAAATCTCCGATCTAGATATTGTGGTTCTCTAGAACCTTCTAATGCACGCTCAGCCTGGGATACGCTGTATACTAGAATAAGATATTTACCCGTGCAGGAGATATGTGCAGTGAAGCATGAGGTTGTCCACCGAGGACACGAGCATTGAAGAAGGCTGTCATAAACTCATCATACAGTCTCAGGGCTTTGACAAAAGCCAGAGGTCTTTTCTCTTCCAGAGGTCAGTCCTCCATCTCCGATATCAGTCTATTCTATATTCGATATCAGTTTATGGCACGAATTGTTGTCGTCTCGGCGCACTCAGTGATGAAATGTTCTGTTGTTGAGAATCTGCATCCGATGCATCGGTGCTCTGTTGTTTAATAGAAGGACTACTTTAAGAAGCATCTTAATGAAATCAAAATTATTTATTAAAAAAAAGTGATTTTTTTGCACTAATTTTTATTACTTTATATACTGACTTATAATTGACTATTTTGTCACAGTAAAAAGGGGCTGTGTATATTTATTTTACATATAAATTTTATTCTGGCAAATTTATTCCGTTCTCTAGAGTTTGTGCAACAATCAATCGATATCAAATCCGGATTTCTACTGTTTACATTTCGAATACATGTCATATTTATGAAGGTCTAGTTTTTAAGGTTGAAAAGGCACCTTTCTTTTTGAAAATTAAAGGCACACATCTCCTTTACAGATCCATGTCGAAAGGTAATCCGTTTACTTTAGATTACGTGATAGCATATACAGGGTGACAATTTTAAAAGACGCAACCGGGGACATCTTTTAGACCAAAAATATTATCATTTATAAAATATAAGATTTCAAGTATATCAGAGAGGAGAGGAAACCCAAATGAGATACCTTATGATGAAAAAAAAACGGCTTTAAAGACAGCTGGGGAATGACAATCGATGATAATTTTGGCGAGGTCAATCTCTAGACAACATTTACTATAGAATGAAATAAAACTTGACACTAATTAATTAAAATAAATTTATCTCTCCAAAAAAATCCTTTATGGGTATTTCGCCACTGCACTGCAAGAAAATCTACAAAATAAAATAGTTATTTTTTGTAAACACTTCTGCGTTAAACCTAAACGGACACTGCTTGTCAGAAGTTATGTTTACAGTTATACAAATTTGCCTAACAAAGAAAAAAATGCTTAACAGTTTCGGAAAGTTTATCTCTTTCCGTCGTCGGAAGCAAAAAAAATACAAAGAATAAAGAAAAAAACTGTTTAAAATATTTAAATTCAATTATTCGAGAACACTACTTTTTTAAAACAGATACGTCTACAAGAAACCGTTGACGTTAGAACGTCAACGGTTTTTTTTGCTTCCGACGACGGACAGAGATAAACTTTCCGAAACTGTTAAGCATTTTTTTCTTTGTTAGGCAAATTTGTATAACTGTAAACATAACTTCTGACAAGCAGTGTCCATTTAGGTTTAACGCAGAAGTGTTTACAAAAAATATCTTTTTTATTTTGTAGATTTTCTTGCAGTGCAGTGGCAAAATACCCATAAAGGATTTTTTTTAGATGAATCCGCCACATAGGTATAGACAGTTTTTAAAATAAATTTAATTTTGACAAGTTTTATGTCAATTTTTAGTAAATGAACCATTATGTGTGCTTAAAATTATAAATTTAAATACAATAAATTAACAAAATATGAACGCGCTTAACTACTACTAATTTCGGAACGCCCTTGAAATTTTTTGAAATATGTATGTGAATTGATCTCAGACACACCTCATAGTGGATAATAACTAAATATTGATGACGTAACATTGAAAGTTCATTGTACAGTTGTCCAAAAAAATCCTATATGGGTATATTTTGCCACTGCAAGATAATCTACAAAATAAAATAGTTATTTTTTGTAAACACTGCTGCGTTAATCCAATGGAAACTACCTGTCAGCAGTTAGGTTTATAGAAAAACAAATTTGCCTAACGAACAAAAAAATGCTTAACGTCTCGGAAAGTTTATCTCTTTCCGTCGTCGAAAGCAAAAAAATACAAAGAATAAAGGAAAAACTATTTAAAATATTTAAACGTAACTATTCAAGAACACTTTAGTATTTTTTTAAACAGATACGTTTACAATAACCGTAGACGTTCTGTTAAAATGACATTTTATCAAGTTAAATTTCAAAATTAACAATTATTACCTGATAACCATTACTTAATAAAGTAAAACCAAAAAGCCTCAAACTTTCTGTATGATTATTTTTAATTTGTTTTTAATTTTTACGTACGTTATGCTTGTTTATGTTATGTTCTTTAAAATTAAAGAAGCGATTGCTATTACTAACCTCTACAGATGAGGCTATCCCTTCTTTCATTATAATTTTGGCGTTGTTTTTGTTGTTCATTTTACAGGTTATAACTATTTAATAATGCAGTTATAAATATTGTATTAATGATGTATAATTGATCGAAAAACAACGGCATCAGCGATGGCTATGAAATGAAGATCGCTGTCATTTTTTATATGTAAATTATATGGGAAAAATGTCATCGATCGTCATTTCCAGGTTAATTTTGAGTTTTTAATATTAAAATTTACGTTTTTTTTAATATAAAACCATCAAAATATTATTTATTATGAAACTTTTTTAATAAATTTGATATATAAATAAAATAACTTTTTTAAAAGTCTGCTTGTTTTAATATTAGAATTAATTTAAAAGTATAATCTAATTTTTACCGTACAACTTGCTTAAAATATATACCGTTTTCTCATATTGGTAGGAAATAATAATTCCTTTTAGAAGCAAGGAAACCATTTTATTACTAATTTAAAATTTACTCATAAAAGTTTGGAGATAAAAATACATTGAGACTTTTTAGGACACTATTCATATTTTTGCTGATTTTCTTATACACAGGGTGAGTCTTAAATAATTGCAAATATTTTGGTTGGTAGATCTAGATAAAAGAAACATATTCTCATTTTACTGTTTTTCAAATAAGTCCAAAATAAACGAGTTATTTTACTATGAAAATTTCCAAAAAAATTAATTTTTTGTTTAAATTTTGAGAACCACTGGACCTTTCCTGGGTTTTCTTTCTTGTAAATTTAATTTACTATCAATGGTGCCATATTATCAAGAAATTATGTTTTTTAATTAAAAACTAAAAAAAAATCCAAGAAATTCCAATATTTTTTTTGGCGAAGAAAAAAACTCATAATCGTGTTATTTATCGTGTGTGTCCTTATTTAAGACCCCTGTATAACTCTGAATTATATGCTAAAGAGAGGACTGATTGCCCTTGTGTAAAAATTTTTATATTATTGTGTAAGATTATATAATTTTTTTTATTTATTGATATAACATTTTGTTATTGATATAATTTTACTTTTATTTTCAGAAGGCTATCCAGCTTCAGAAGATGATTATTCCGAAAACTCTATTGACAGATTTCTGCAACCAGCGCAAAAGTAAGAGCATAAAGGTGTACATGTTAATGTAATTTATGTTTTCCTGTACATAAGAACACCTAAACTGTATCAAATAAAGCATTAATATGTAGTAATTTCATATATTTATCTTAAATATTATAATGTCCCAGGCTGAGCGAGCATTAGATGTTTTTAGAGAACTACAATATCTAGATCGGAGATTTTTTGCACATCATTGTTTCACAATGAGGTCTGTCAATTAAAAAAATGTTTTCAATATAGCGGCACTTCTGGAAATACCGGGAGTGGACAAAAGCTTTCTTATTTTAAAAGGGTACCCTTTGTTTTATTACATACTTAAATTCTCTGTAAAATTTATTAATTTTTTCAATATCTAAAATATTATAGAGAAAATGCTAATCATAAGCAATTAAGTTATGAAAAAAAATTATATTTTTTTCTCAAACATGAAATATATTTTGCTCAAATTTTTGATCAAACATTCTATACCTAACATTAAAAAACGTTTTTGGGAAAAAAATATTTAAAATTATTGGGGGAAAAACAAAAATGCATTGAAAGTGTTATGATAAAATCTTAGGACACTATTCATATTTTGCTAATTATCTTACATACAGGGTGAGTTTTAAATAATTGCCAATATTTTCAGGGTTGGTAGATCTCGATAAAAAAAACATATTTTCATTTTACTGTTTTTCAAACAGTTCCAAAATAACCGAGTTAAAATAAAATTGTATAGCCGAAACGTCAAATTTAGTGAATCAAAGTGCCACAGTCCCTGTGATATAAAGAGAAAACATGTGGCTATCTATTTCAAAAATTGAATTGTTTGAATGTCATATTATATTGGCCGTAGCTGTCATGGAAGTGAAAGATTAAAAAATATAATTTTTTCCATCGCAACTATTAAAATTCCCTTATATCTTATCTTTGTTATAGATAAAATAGTACTTTAACTGCAAGGCTTACTGCAAATGATACTTTAACAGCGAGGAGAGGTTAAAAACTTTATTTCTATTCACACGTTTTTTACTTGCTTCCATTTTTGAAAAATTTTGTATTCCTTTTCATAAGTTATTAGGGATTTAAATGGAACTAGTTTGGATATGGCGTTTGTCGCCTCAGCCTGAATATCTGTTGGTAATTTACTTATTTCGTTTTGAGCCATTTCTGGCTCCAATTCAATCAGCAATCGACACGAAAGAGAATTAAAAAATATTGACTCAAAACTGACAACTAAAGAGACAGCTTTATTTATTTGTCAAATTACATAGAAACCAACGCCAACCCGGCACAATATTTTTTCTAATCGTAATAAATTCCTTGAAATAATAATTTCTGAATATTTTTTAAAACGTACTTGCTATGGAAAAAAATATTATTTTATACAAGACGATAAAATTGCATTATCGTATAAAATACCATTTTATCGTCTTGTATACAAAATAACTAAAATTATTTTTTTCAAATGGAAACACAGTTTTTTTTTATTAATTAGATATCATTGTGAAACAATCATGTGCAAAAGAATCTCCGATCTAGATATCGTCATCAACTTTCATAGAACTATTGTAAAACAAGAAATATATGAAACTATTTAGAAGAGAGCACATTTTTTAAATACAGTAACTGAAAACACAGTTTTTTGTGTGATCTTTAGCTTCATTAATATAGAAATATATAAAAAATGTGCTTTAATAATTTTGTTCTTCTTTATTTCAACAAACCACCTTTCATATTTCGTTACGCTTATATTATCACATTTATATTTTTAATATACTGTCTCTAAGAAATTGGAGTCTGTTATAACCACATCACCATTAATATTGTGTGCTTCATTAGATAAATGAGTGTCAACAATACATAAAAAAACGAAAAAATCTGAAGAACAAAAAAAGCACATTTAAATTTTCTATTTATACTAAATTGTGTCTGTTTCAAAGATTTTTTCGTTAGAAAAATCTACAAATTCATATAACCTAGTACATATTATGCCTACATCAGAATGACTTGAATTAATGTTAATATTATCCTAAAAGTTTTAATTAGAACTTTACTGAAATGTACATTAATTATAGCTCCCAAGGTCCAAATTTTCTTTTAGTTTGGGGAGAGATAAAGTTTGAAAGCATTATTAATTAGACCCTTTTTTGAGTTAATTGTATATTAAATTAAATTACTTAACAATTAGCCAGAAAAAAAATTGGTTAAACAATTTGAAACGGTTAGGCTTAAAGCTTTATTCATAACCTCGCAATTAGTGGAATATATTAGTGGTTTCAATTACACTTTATACTTTTTAGTTTACGATTATTTACTATATCTAATAAACACAATTAAAATTAATATAATATCCTGTCAACAGCTAGCGTCAGTCAATTGTATCCATAGAGAAAGCCTAATATATAGCTTATAAAACAATCAACATTTGATTTCTAACCACAATTTCTCTTGACGGAAGATAATCAAAAGTCAAAATGACATTTCTCGCAAATTTTGAAGTATAATTAGTAGAAAAGTTAAAAGTTTGATAACTTTTTCTACTACTTGAAAAAGTCTACCATTAATTTTGACGTTCTGAATGATTACATTCAAATTAAAAGAACAAACTTGCTAATCGAAACAACTAATTTATTCCACTAATTGCAAGGTTCTGAATGAAGCTTTACTTCTAATAATTAATAAAATTCTAAATATTAAATGTAAATTGATAAAAGTATCAATAAAAATAATTTTAGGTAATTCATTTAAATAATATTTAAAATAAATTTACACATGTAATATTACGTTGTAAAAGTAGGTTTGTATGAATTTGTAATTTATGTAGGGCATTAGTGTTACGTGTGGTAGAAATTTAACCTCGTCCAATTAGCAAATTAAGTGTACAAATAATCTAATATTACCATCAATATACACGTATAAAAATATCATTCCGTTCTGTTTAATGTAGACTTTGTAAGCTTATCTCCTTGTATAAAATATATTTCATGTTTGAGAAAAAAATATAAATTTTTATCATAACTTAATTGCTTATGATTAGCATTTTCTCTATAATATTTTAGATATTGAAAAATAATATGTTTTTGAAAAGGCTCACTTAATGGAATATAGGGCTGTTGGATGAAGTTAACAGTAGAATGTGTTTTGATGATTTCAAAATTATCTTATGTTTTTTTCTTTAAAATAAAATCTTTTTGGAAGGTTTCGAAATCAAAACTGAGCTGAGCGTTTCTTTAATATTATAACAAAATATAATTAATGGTAGACTCCTATAAGTCAATTATATTAATAGAATCTTTGACTAATTTAGATATTACAATATTAGACATTTATACACTCAAATGCAACAAAAACGCGACGGAGACATTTTTGGCGAATTTAAAGTGTTATATGTTTGCTATTTTTAGCCCTATTTTTATGAATTTCTTAGCAAGCTGTATATAATTATATAGTAAACGCCACGAATGTTTGGGAGTGATTCATCGGTCGCTACCATGTGAACTAATCTGTTCAAGGTCACATAAAACTTAATTCCAGTGCCGTGGTGTTTCAAGTCATATAATAATCAATATATAATCTGTTGTAATTTGTTGTTTTAACTGTCAAAGTCTTGTCAAAACATATATTTGGTTATATGTAAATATAAACTGGAATGCTTCATTGGTCGCACTGCAAGCACACCAATGGACTGACGCACAAAAACGAATCAATCAAAGAAACGCGATATAGTATCGTCTTTGTCAATCACGCTAACATTTTAGAATAAGTAGGAGGAGCGCAGGCATATGATTAGACCGGGCCTTTAAAAACCTACGTCTGCGGTAAAAATTTACGTTTTTAATGTAAAAATGGTAGCGCGCGTGTCGATTCTAACTTCATCAAGCGATGAATCACTCCCAAACATTCATGGCGTTTACTATATCAACTTTAATTCGTAAACTCAGTTTTTTATAAACTATAAATATTTGGTATTACAGGGTTAAACGATGGGTTGTTTTTTTACCTTAATTTTAAAACACCCTGTGCAATAATTTCGTTTGTAAATTTTCTTAAAATATAATTTTATGGTCAGAACCATGTCTTCTGAGCATTTTATTTTTTGGATCGTGTCAATACATGCCTTGGTTAATTTTTAAGAGCGAAATGAACTTGCCGCCAACAAATTGCAATTTTTTCAATTATCGTTTCTTCTTGAAGTTGTTTTTCAATATGACAAGGCGGCTTTAGTAATTATTGTGAACTATATACTACTATGAACTGCCCATCATGTTCGACGTTTGGGAAATGCTTGGCAGGAGGGTTAAAGGCCGCGAAGCGGTACCAACCTCATTAAATGAACTTCGCTTAGTCCTTAAAGAAGAATGGAAAAACATAACGCAACATGATATATACAGCGTCAATGACAGTATGAACGGACGTATAAAGGCAGTAATAGCAGCCAAGGGAGGTAATACAAGGTATTAGGGTATTTTTACATTTTTTTGTTTGTATACTTGAGTAGGTATTACAGATTTTTTCTTTAATGTCGTTAGTTCTGTTATCGTTATTAATGTTTATTAAAATCCGGACTGTATCGTAAGTCTTTAACGTTTTTTTTTAATTTAGTATAGATTGTCCAATGCAGCGTAATATGACGTTGCTGCAATACTAACCAAAATCATCCCGTCATATTAAAAAATTACACCAAAAATTAACAATAATTGAAAGAACTGCAAATTTACCGTTATTAATTCATTTCGCTCTTAAAATTAACCAAAGCATGTTTTGACATGAATCAAAAAACAAAATGCTGAGGATTCAAGGTTCTGACGGTAAAATTATATTTTAGAAAAACTTACAAACGAACTTATTGCACGAAGTGTTTTAAAGTGAAGGTAAAAACAACTCTTCGATTAACCCATTTAGTTTTTTAGTAATTGTCATATTATGCCAATTACTAAAGTTCGTAAAAAACTGAGTTTACGTATTAAAGTTGATATAATACATATAAGTTGATATAAATCATATACAGCTTGCTAAATAATTCGTTAAAATAGAGCTAAAGATAACAAATATATAACACTTTAAATTTGACTGAAAATTATCCTTTGCTTTTTTTTGAATCTGAGTGTAGCTTCGAAACCTACCAAAAAATAAGTACCTAATACAAAAAACATTTTAAAAGTAAAGCAACAAAAATATGAGATAATCCTGAAATCGTTGACCAATCAGCCTCAGTTAGATGTGGTTGTAAGTGACATCTAATTTCCGTTTTGCAGACGTCAGACCTCTTCAATAATTTACCTTTTCAGACGCGCATGTGTCAGGAGAGGGGGTAATTGCGACCACAGGCCCAACGACTGTTGCTATAACAGCTCGTGCAGGTGCAACTTATGGGGGGCCAACTGTAGATGTCAACGGATGGGCCTCTTCCAAAAATGGGGTTAACACCAAGCCCCTAAGCCAAACGAAATAATAGCCTAATAGAGCTTCCTTAAATGCTTTAAAATATGTTTGTTTTCCGATCATTTAACGCTTGCTTAACAGTACAAAACAGTTATACAATGGATAGTGTTAGATTTCTTTGCTATTAGGCTGTTAGAGACATGATTTCAAAATCGGGACAAAAGCTTTGAGCGCTCGCTCAGTGACGGTTCTTTATTTTTATCGAGATTATTTCCGAAGACTGACTTTTTGGACTTTTTCGAAAATGTCACTGTGCGAGTGGACTCGAAGCTTTTGTCCCAGACCCACTGCACTGAACAATGGCTGACGATTTACTATTTAACTATATCAGTATTTAGCATACATATTTTATTTATATATAACTATATCGTTGTGTCAAAAACTATTAAACAAAGATAAATATCTTGAATAAGGTGTTTTTTGGTTTCGATTAATAATTGTCCTTTGGTAAATAAATATCGAAGCAAAGCTGTTTATGAAACTTTTCTGTATCTTAATATCGAAACTAGAAAAAATCGAATTGTCTACTATTTTTTCTAGTTTCCAAACTAGCTAGCTGCCTCTCTACTAAAAGTTTATCCAGCCACACCTTTAGTAGATTTGGCATGACTATCTAAAACAATATATAGAAATAAAGCAGGACCTTCCAAAATATTTTAGCTTCTACAGGCTATATTTCTATATATGCATCGAGACAAATATTTAAAGAAAAGAATAACAAAACATATAACCAGAAATGTAATTTATCTAAATAAATGTATAATAGACTTTAGGAGAATTCTATTGTGGTTAATTGAGGTGATAAAAAAGCCTAATGGTTAATCAGTAGAGAACAAAAATATATAAATTTATCCTTAAATAAAGCAACTGTAATTCTAACGTACATATATATTGAGACTTAAAATTATTTATATATGTGAAAAGGGTACAACGTTCAGGATTCTGTCAATACAAATATATCAATTGGCCTAAAAATTTACTGTGTTTTATTTGCCTTTTCCAAAATAGTCCTATTCGTTCATTCCATCAGCAAACCAGTGATAAAATATGGTATTTTCTGAGTAAGTAGTCTGAAACAATTTGGGGAAAAATTATTATTCAGTTCTGTTTAAAGTGTATTTGCCATAATTTATTAGGGTATGAGTAGCATCTTTTTGTACTTTTTTCAACCTTTTAATTATAAAGTCAATTCTAGATATCAATAAATGGTGCTCTTTCAGAAAAGGGATTCACTTCGGCTTGCTTAGCCAAACATAATAATAGTCCATTCAAAGCTTCCTTAAGAAAAGATGCCTTCAAAATACACGTTAGAGCTTCCTTAAATGCTTTAAGATATGTTTGTTTTCGGATCATTTAACGCTTGCTTAACAGTACAAAACAGTTATGTAATGGGTAGTGTTAGACTTCTTTGCTATTAGGCTGTTAGAGACATCTAAATAAATGTATAATAGACTTTAGGAGAATTCTATTGTGGTTAATTAAGGTGATAAAAAAGCCTGATTGTTAATCAGTAGAGAACAAAAATATATAAATTTATCCTTAAATAAAGAAACTGTAATTCTAACGTACATATATTGAGACTTAAAAATTATTTATATATGTGAAAAGGGTAAAACGTTCAGGATTCTGTCAATACAAATATATCAATTAGCCTAAAAATTTACTGTGTTTTATTTACCATTTCCAAAATAGTCCTATTCGTTCCTTCCATCAGCAAACCAGAGATAAAATATGGTATTTTCCGAGTAAGTAAGGAGTCTGAAATAATTTCGGGGAAAAATATTATTCAGTTCTGTTTAAAGTGTATTTGCCATAACTTATTAGGGTATGACTAGCATATTTTCGTACTTTTTTCAATCTTTTAATTATAAAGTCAATTCTAGATATCAACAAATGGTGCTCTTTCAGAAAAGTGATTCACTCCGGATTGCTGGGCCAAACATAATAATTGTCCAATAAAGCTTCCTTAAGAAAATATGCCTTCAAAATACTCGTTAAAGTTTCCTTAAATGCTTTAAAATATGTTTGTTTTCGGATCATTTAACGCTTGCTTAACAGTACAAAACAGCTAAACAATGGGTAGTGCTAGATTTCTTTGCTATTAGGCTGTTAAAGACATGATTTCATAATCGGGAGCGCTCGCTCAGTCACGGTTGTTTATTTTTGCCGAGTTTATTTTCGAAGACAGTCCGTTTTTGACTTTTTCGAAAATGTCACTGTGCGAGTGGACTCGAAGTTTTTGTTACTTATTTTTATGTGCAGAATATGCTCTGCTGAAGTTTCCGAAATACAGTTGGGGCTACCCTGTACACTAAGTATTGGTTATAATTATTTAAAATCGGGACAAAGCTTTGAGCTCTCTCTCAGTGACGGTTTTTTATTTTTTCGAGTTTATTTCCAAAGACGGACGTTTTGGGCTTTTTTGAAAATGTCACTGTGCGAGTGGACTCGAAGCTTTTGTCCCAGACTTACTGCAGTGAATAATAGCTGATTGGTACAAAGCAACTTACATAGAAAAAAATATATTTTTTTGATGATATATGTCATAATTTATTAGCCCATGAGTGGCATTTTTTGGACTATTTACGGGATTGAAACTGGTTTAGCTATTTGTAAGCCAAAAAAATATACATAAAAAAATTCTAACGTATATATCAATTGAGACTTAAGAATTATTTTATGCATGTGAAAAGGGTACGACGTTCAGGATTGTGTCAATACAAATATATCAATTGGCCTAAAAAAACTGACTTTTATTTACCTTTCCCCGATATGATCCAATTCATTCCTTCAACCAATAAACCATCAGAAGCAAATATGACATTTCCTAAGTAAATTAAAACATCTTCAGTGGTAAAGTTTCAGATTATTTAATGAATAAATGTACATATTATGTTTAAAGAAGCGTATATTTTATATATACGCGTATTTCTACTACTAACTACTAAATTTTGTTTTACGGAATTAAAATTAAAAGTTTTATTTTAGCTTTTAGGAACTTTTATAACTGTAACTCAATTTTAATAGTGTTTCAATATTTTAATCCATTTATAAACTGCTATTACAGATATACATATTTAATATTTTGTAAATTTAAAACTTATTTAACAAATGTTTGGCGAGAAAATCTCTATAATTTAATAAAATTCTACAGGGTTGTTCACCACATACGACACGGAGTATTGTAGCTAAAAGATTAAATTTTTACAAATTGTAAGTTTTGGGTTCGTTGAAGGGCTATTACAGCTACAATTTAAAAATATTTTTACAAGATACAGAGTGTCCCAAATAAGTAAAAAATATCAAAGTTTTATTTTTTTAAATAGAACACCCTGTATATTATTACATTTTTAATTTCTACGGTTAAAATAAAGGTACATTTGATTAAGGTTTATTATACTTAAACCTTACCGTTTTTGAAATATTTTCAATTTTGTGAAATTGCAGTAAAAATTTTCAAGCTTTATTTCTCCAAGGGTATCAAAGTTTTTAACACTAAATATTTGCTGAAGATTATTTATTGATCAGTTATTGTGTTGCAATAATAAAAATAATATTACCTGATACAGAGTGTCTGAAAATTTATTTTAAATAATTTCTAGCTTTAAACACCAATAACTTGTTTAATTTAAACGGCATACCCTGTATATTTTAGGATAATCAGATGCACAATTTAATTGTCTATCAAACTGTATTATACCATTTTTTGCCTATCTCTTCAAGTTTTCGTAGAAAATGCATTTTCTTATAATTTAGACCTCATTTATCACTATACCCATGGAATATTGACATTTTAGATTATTTTAAAGCAACATATGTACAAAATGTACAGGTGGTAAAAATATTAATATTGCAAGCTCATTTGTTTACAAAAACAAAACTACTTTTTGTTAAAGAGGACCAATTAATATGATTCCAGTATTCAAACTACATTAATTGACGGTTTACGTTGATTAATAATAATTGCTCTAAATACTAAAAACTGAATTTTGTATTTGTATTAGAGAGTGTGGTAAAAAGTAACACCTTATAAATTTGATTTCATTTTTTGACTAATGCTTATTTATAACAGAGACGTTCATTTTCATAACTTATTATTGTTTTGATTTCTGAGTCAAATCCACATTTATTTAGAATAATTTATTAATTTAAACAATTAAGTATGTAATTAATTTGGGCGGAAATAATGATGGTATATTAATAATTATTAGTAATAATTGGTATACTCTTTTAGAAAGATTTAAGTAGTTTTATTTTTGTAAACAAATGGGCTTGCAATATTAATATTTTTACCACCTGTACATTTTGTACATATGTTGCTATAAAAAAATCTAAAATGTCAATATTTCATGGGTATAGTGATAAATGAGGTCTAAATTATAAGAAAATGCATTTTCTACAAATCTTGAAGAGATAGGTAAAAAATAGTATAATACAATTTGATAGACAATTAGACAATTAAATTGTGCATCTGATTCACGTAAAATATACAGGGTGTTCTATTTAAATTAAACAAGTTATTGCCGTTTAAAACTAGTAATTATTTAACATAACTTTTTGGACACTCTATATAACGTAGTATAATTGTTATTATTGCAACACAATATCTGATCAATAAATAAACTTTAGCAAATATTTAGTGTTAAAAACTTTGATATCGTTGGAGAAATGAAGCTTAAAAATTTTTACTGCAATTTCACAAAATTGAAAATATTTCAAAAACGGTAAGGTTTAAGTGTGATAAATCTTAATCAAATCTACCTTTATTTCAACCCTAGAATCTAAAAATAAAATAATATACAGGGTGTTCCATTTACAAAAATAAAACTCTAATATTTTTTACTGGGACACTCTGTATCTTGTAAAATTATTTTTAAATTGTACCTTTAATAGTCCTTCAACGAACCCAAAACTTACAATTTGTAAAAATCTAATCGTTTAGCTACAAATACTCTGAATAATATACAATAACTCCGTGTCGTATGTGGTGAACAACCCTGTATAATCGTTATTATAAAATTGTTAAAAATGAATGTTTATATAGTGATTGAGTATTTCATTATTATAATAATTAATATCGATCTTTGTTAATAAACTTATTAATAAATAAGTAGCAACAAATAATTATTCTGATTTCGTCTGGTTTATTTGTATGTTTACTTTAAAGTTAGGAAATATACAGAAAATTAAATATAAGTAACATTAATACCTACTATTTGTAAAAATATTTTTTTTTATTTCTGCCTGCCAAAATATGTAACTTTACAGGCAACAATATTGTAAGAATCTTTCCCAGAATGCGTTATGTATTCGTAGACAGAAACTTTCGCAATATATTGTCTGTTAGCGTCTGATTACTTTCAAATATATGGATAGTTTCAGTTTCCAATTGGAATTTCAAAAATTTTCAACTTTGATAAAACTTGTATGTGAAGTATGTCGCTTATGAGGGCACTTAATATTTCGTAGGCATAGTTTAGTATCTATTTTTAGGACATCTATATTTAAAGGACAGTATATAATATACTGTTTATTATAATAATGTATAATTCAGGATCTTACTACCTATACCTGTCTTCAAATTTAGTTTACTAAGTAGAATAATTTCCTAGTTTTAATCTGAATCCACAATCCAGCTATATTTTAATAAAAGAGAAATAATAATAATAATATAGAAACTGAATTCATACCAAGGTTTGTAGTTTCATACATTCAAAATATTGCCGCATTTATGTCATTCAAAACCGAAGGGTTTTTGATAGGCCCAGACCGAGGGGTGTCTCACTATTGGAATTACATGTACATTTTCTTGGCAGTCGCTGGCAGTCATTGGCAGTCTTATGGCAGTCGCCTATAATAATTACATGGCAGTCATAGGCAGTCTGCTTCATATTCATTGGCAGTCGCTTAGCAGTGGAAGGATATTTTGGCAGTACGTGTACATTTTTTAGCCGAGTGAGACACCCCTCGGCCAAGACAGAGTC